TACCCGTCTGTCATAGTCTTTACCTAAACCCGGATCTATTGTTTTAGATTTAGATTTAACACTACAAATTGTATAATGATTCATGGATAACGTTATAAAATCCATAGATTTAACACTTCAACAATGTATGGTGGTTAATATATTACTTTCCGTTACAGATCTTACAATTTAGCACTACAACACTGTATGGTGGTTAATATATAACTTTCCGTTACAGATCTTACAGATTTAGCACTACAACACTGTATGGTGGTTAATATATTACTTTCCATTAGAGATCTGAATCTCCAATAATGTATCTAATCACAATAACACAGAGTTTGACGAAGAAGTTATTGAAACCCATTTAATCAAGTACCATCCCAGTTTTGTATAATCAAACATGTATTTATTGACCCAACAGATATATATATTCAATATTTTAATGAGAACAGCCTATAGTGGCTAACTATCTACTTCTCCCCCTGTACTAGGGAAACACCACAAAACTACAGTCTCACTCTGAACACTAACGGTTGAACTCGAGAAAATCGACTAGACCGAAAGGAATGGCCAGACCTCAACCATACATCCATGATCATCTCGCGTCTCGCACTTTCTTGGTCGAATTTAGCAACACGAATAAAATCTCACTGATAGAAGCAGACAGTAAATCACCAAATCTTTTACTTTCGGCCAGTTAGATATTTTCTACAAACTTTAACAAGAAATAATGGCTGAACCAACCATCTCACCATTGATATATACTTTACACAAAAACCCGCATTCATAGTGATACCTAGTTGTTATAAATCTTATACACAAATTATACGTTATTATAAAACATATACACATTTTTTACATTAAGTTATACACTAGCATAAAACTTACACAAAAACATGCATTCATTGTACGTAGTTGTTATGTATCTTATACAAAAACCTGAACATTAGCCACTCGTTATTTCAAAACTTATACAAAACTATAGTTGTACGAAGTTGCTATAAATATTACAAAAATTTGAATACTCAGTTGTATGTTATTTGTTTGTTTGTTTGTTTTGTAATTAAGCACAAAGCTACACAATGGGCTATCTTTGCTCTGCCCACCACGGGTATCAAAACCCGGATTCTAGCGTTGTAAGCCCGCAGACATCCCGCTGTGCTACTGGGGGGCGTGTATGTTATTATGAAACTTACACTCTAGATTTGGTTGTACTTGGTTGTTATAAACCTTACAAAAATCTGAACATTTCGGTTATACGCTATTATAAACAAAACTAGAGTTGTACGAAGTTGTAAATCTTACAAAAGTCTGAACGCCTAACTGTACGTTGTTGTAAAACAAAATCCTACACAGTGGACTGTAGGTATTTTCAAAATTCACACGAACACCTGGTCTCACACTTAAATATTATTGTTACATACATACATATTGTTCGGTATATAAGACGCACTTTTTTACCCCAAAATTTGATGTCAAAATCTTCTTGCGTCCTTTACACCGAAGGTATGAATAATATATATGTATATATACGATATACACAAGCCATGTGTAAATATATTTAAATAGGTATACATAGTTTAGTTCAATTGAATGTGTTATTTATAACAATAGTAGTTTTTTTCTTTTAAAAACATAACTATTTATAATGCTCCCTAAATAATAAAATATATACAAATAAAATATGTACAAAAAACACCCATTTTAAACTATTCAACAATTGTTGGTTATAAACTGTTTTTGTTGTTATTGTGTTTTCAGTAATTCATTATAAAGTGTATATCGCGAACTTTAAGCTCCAGACTTGCTTACATTTAATTAACAAGGAAGTCATTTAATGTATCCTTCAGATAACCCTGTAGTTCATATAATGTTCAGATTACCAAAACATCTAACATTCCACAAAACACGAAGCTCTCTTTCAGGTCAATTATAATTGTACACCTCCATTTACTTGTGTATGAACCTATAGGCGAAACAAATTTTAAATGACAAGGATTTAAAGGAAAAAACGCAAGACAGAGGCATCATGGGAAATCTTTTGAGATGCTTTCTCGCAGTTTCGTACGTTCTTTAGAGGTCTCTGACCGTTATACATGGGTCAAATCAAGTGTTTGAGAAAACGAACGTTGAAAAAGCGTTTGATTGTTCAATCACTGCAATAGGCATGCGCCAGTGGCTTGAAGATAACAGACGTAAATATTTTATTCATATTGGTTTAGACTGTAAATAATTTCGACTTTGAATCATTCATTGCCTTGGGCGAGCAAATCCTCAAGTGACTAGTAAGTACAAGTTACAAAGAAGCCAACCAACCATAACAGGATTAATTGTTTTATCTTTATTCTCAAGATGCACATAATAGCGAAATCGGTTTAGAACCCCTGTAAAAGTGTTTCTTCCGTAATACACTTTTATGATTGCATTATAAATACTGCTGATGGACACAGTTATAAATTACAGTATCATTGTAATATCTTCGGTATCATTTTTATACAACATGCCACTATAAACTTCGGCTTAATACATAGTGATGCAGAAAATAAAACGTGTCTGTAATCAAAGATCGTGAACGTATTTATTACATATAATTGCAAAATACATGAGGCATGAGATACCTAACTGGCCACGCACATTTCATGCTTATTTATGGTTCTTCTTGTTTAAGTGAAATATATTGTTAACACAAATATTCCATAGTATAACACACGAGTATTAAAGTCTGAGATTTGGGACACAGTGAATAAAAAACATTTTAAAACTAATAACATCATAACATTTGTGACTTTAGACGAATATAAGATGACTTTTAAACGGATAAAGCAGGATTGTTGATGCATGAGGTAAACTGTAAAAAGCTACTCTGTTCTATTTAATTTCTACGTTTGCCTTCTGTATATTACGTCCAGATTACACTTATGTGCATGACAAACTTCATTACGAAGTTTTGGTTTGACAAAATGCTCTAAGAGTTATTGACGTGGATGTGGAATATATGTGAAAAATGTTAACTCTTGTAATATTTGTTTGAATTTTGTATATGAATCCTAAAATGAATTTCCGACGGCCTTGCCTTCACAGTACAACACTAATTGCCAGCCATTTTGTTAAAAGTAATGTAATTCGTTGATATATGAGATGGCCTAATGAAACGGGAGCATATTGGGGGATTCCACGACCAGTGACCTGTTCACGTAAGCGGAATCAATGGGGATCTAGCGCTTCTCACATTATATTTTGTGAATTACATGAATGAAATCTTGATTTGAATAATAGTTTGTACAACCACATCCACATTTAAATTACATTTTATCTTTGAGGTCAGGATTTCACGCCTCTAAAACCGAAAAGTAAAGTAATAAACGCGAGGTACAAAGTATCATGCAGTACATAAACGTTACCTAATGAGATCAGTTTCCATAGAAACTTGCGTCAGAAAGAAGCAAGCTTATCGTCACAAACACTTAAAGCCCTTTTTAATTGGCGCTGTGTCATAGAGTAACGCAGTACTCAGTTTTACACTCTTGGCATCTTATATCATAGGGTAATTAAATAATCAGATAAACAGTTATGACAATTAATATCAGGAATAATTCCCGCGATCATCGCTGTATCTGTGATACTTAATATCAGGAGTAATTCCCGCGATTATCGCTGTTTCTGTGATACTTAATATCAGGAATAATTCCCGCGATCATCGCTGTATCTGTGATACTTAATATCAGGAATAATTCCCGCGATCATCGCTGTATATGTGACAACTGATACTACGAATAATTTTTGTGGTCAGTGATGTGCCTATGACAACTGGTATGTGGAATAATCTCCGTGGTCAACGCTGTTTCAATGACAACTGTTATTAGGAATAATTTTAGTGGTCAGCGTTTTATTTATGACAGTTGATATCAGGCATAATTTCCATGATTAGCGCTTTGTCTATGGTAACTGATACTACGAATGATTTTCACGGTCATTGTTGTCCCTATGACAAATGGTATCTGGAATAATTTCCTTGGTCAGCGCCGCATCTATGACAATTAATATTGGGGAAGAGCTTTAGTAATTTGAACTTTAGCTATGAGAACTTCCAGAATGGCTAAATCCAACCAGGAATAAATTCAGAAATCGGCACTGTAGTTATCACACCAGTTATTAGGAAAATATTAGATAACAAGTATGTAGTTTTGTTCGATTGTCTGTCTCGGGTATTCGGGCAAAGTTACACAGGCGCTATCTGCGCTAGCCGTCTAATTTAAATCGGAACGCGATTTTGTGGTAACAGCTATTGACTCTCGGATTTACAGTCCGGTGTAAAGAAACTTTGAACACTGAATGGTTACTCAATTTTGTAATTGTAACAATTTATATCGTGGATAAGCTAAATTATTGAGTCTGTTTTTATGACAAATTCTAAATATTGAGTAGCTGAACAGTTAGTATTGCATTTATGAAAACATTAAATACCGAATGCTTTTAGAGTCAGCGCTGTATCTATGACAAATTTAAACGTCGATTATCCGAATAGTCAGTGTTGTATTTATGGTAATTAAGTAAGAATAAATTTGATTAACCTTTGGTTTCTGTGAAAATTTACATAAAGGAAAAATTTAATATACCAGTATTTACATATCAAAAATTGTATATTGTATCATAGATATTGATAGCTAAGGTATTTTGCCAATGAAGTCATATCTGAGATGGGATTAAAAATTGGTAAGTTGTGGTACAGTTATCATTACTTTCATATATATATATATATGGATATACATATAGACCACAAGAAAATATCTTGTTTAGACTGAGGTAAAAAGAACTATCTAAGCTTGGTTTATCAAGGAATAAAAACACTGCTTTAACAAGGTCCGAACCCGTATCGTAGTTAAAGTTGATGATATTTGAACCAATCTGAATTTTTTTTTTTACATTGAAATATTATATATATTCAGTTTATGTTAAAAATTGAGCGTTTGATTATGTTGGTCAATTAAACAAAATTGGAAAAGAAACAATTTACTTACCAAAGCTTTGAGAGACCTGATTTGTTTTTCTTTTCTAGATGTCTTGAAAACATCTACATTACTTATTTCAGTTGGTCTAATATCCTATTGTGTTATCGCCCAGGAAAGAAGACATAACTAATAGCAGGTTATAATTTAAAAGAAGACACAACTAATAGCAGGTTATAATTCAAAAGAAGACACAACTAATAGCAGGTTATAATTCAAAAGAAGACATGACTAATAGCAGGTTATAATTCATTTCAGAATGCTCCATATGAATACGACATAAATAACTCCTGAAACGCGTGACTGTGTACAAAAGTAGGCTTAGCGTGATTATCCTAATCAATGTTCCACCCACAGATCAAACAGAGCTCTCCGTTAAAGCTAATGCATTTGTAATACTGAAGTGAATTACTTAATGTAGAGATCAGCATATTTTGATGAGAAACATCTCAAATTCAATACAAGGGATGCCTAGGAATAAAATAATTTTCCTATAAAGGCTGTAAAAGGCTTAATATATTTAACTTTCTTTTACAAGTAACCTTTCAAGCGTGCTCGACCATCTTAAATCTCACATCTAAATTAAATGGAAAAACCAACGACAAGAACACAACTTCCAGTCAGATCTCATCCTCGCTCTCACGTGCGACTTCGATGGCACCAAAACACTCCAGCGCTTCTGGTGTGGTCCTGCCTGGTCTCTTTTATCACCGACAACGCAAGCGCACTACTACTATTTGTTGTATATCGATCTCGGTAGATCATTCGGTTTAGCTCCATTGTTTTGAAAATGCGTACACGTCTGTGCAACTAGTTGAATGAAACTCAAGTTTAATAGATGTGTTCATCTGTAACTAAAGGATGATAAGTAAATAGTGGAGACAGTGCGTAGTTTTCTACACGATGTTTAACAACCGTTTCTGTTAATGAAAGCGCTGTTAAACCAACCCTGAGTTTAATTAATAGATGGGACCAGTCTATTTCAATATACGTGTTTCTATTCTCATTTGTAGCTAGTTTTACGTCTACATACTCACGTTATTACAGGGTTCAACCCTGATATTGATTTGTTTCATAAACATTCAGTTCTTAAATAGCGCAAATGCCATTTGCGGTTTCGCTAGAGTAATCAGCGTTAACTGAGTTCATTTAGAAATATATGACTTGCAGCATTTGTTTCAAAAGATTAAAGACAATCACACAGCCATCTCACAGATCACGTTTGTTTTCACAATCATTATAATGCATTGAAAGTAATAACTTTTATATATGAAGTGTTGAGTAAATCAGCTGTGCATTCATTTCAAATTTGGACTATATTGTTGGAATATAAGAAACACCTTAAATAAGTGATAAGCGGTTGAAATTGTTCATTCTTAGACTTTACACAAAACCACAGATCACAGCTTGTTACATATACAACGTAAGACGCAAAAGTTACCTTGTTGTAAAGTACAGCTAAAGCCAGACCCTGTACAACCAGTCAGCACGTGTTCTGAGAGTTTACTGTGTGTGTGCATGTAGTTACATTTCTCAAAACTCTAAATCTCTCATGTCTTCTCAGTTTGTATCGCAGTTTTTAGACAGAACTAGGTAAAACACTAAAGTATTTGTTGTTCGTAGAAACATATTACTTTCTTAGTTTACCTTCATTCATGAGAAGCAATGAATTCCGAGTTCTGTTATAAAAACAGCCAAACAGTCTTGTCAAAACATATGAAAGTCAACGAACACAGATTGTGGAGTTAACCTTTATACAAGAAGCATGACCATTATTAATGAAGTTTAACATTCTGAAAATAATATTCTTAGACACGTATCAAATTAAGAGTACATTGGACTGACAGGAAACGTAACTATAATGTGAAACATGGAAAGCATCACGAACATGATGTAAAAAACATTTTTTCAAGGCGCATGTATACTTGATATTGACGAAGAATACAAAACTATCAGTTATTTCACCGGAAAGTGAATGTCTGAATTCTCAAATTCTCCACCCCATCGAGTCTATGAGGGTCTGGCATGGCCAGGCGTTAGAGCGCTCAACTCGCAATCTGAGGGTCGCGGGTTCAAATCCCCGTCCCACCAAACATACTCGCCCTTTCAGCCGTGGGTGCGTTATAATGTGACGGTCAATCCCATTATTTGCTGGTAAAAGAGTAGCCCAAGAATTGGCGGTGGGTGGTGATGACTAGCTGCCTTCCCTTTAGTCTTACACTAATAAATTAGTGACGGCTAGCGCAGATAGCCCTCGTAGTTTTGTGCGAAATTAAAATACAAAACAAACAAACGAGTCTGTGAAATAGCTCAGTTGAATGTTCCAAAGTTAACGAGAATAGAAGAGGGAATATTAATATTTCTATATTGGCAATTAAGTATTTTCACATCTCAGGTTGTTTCTTTGTAGTACTTTATTTTAATACAACTTTAGTTTGTACAACGTCTTTAGAAGAAAAAAAATGTGGGTCTAAAGCTTTAAAGATTAAAATGTTACAGGCAACCAATAATTGAAATATTCAATCACTGAGATAGGCTTGCCACAGTAAAAAAAAACCAAAAAAACAGCAATACCCTAGTATAAAATGTCGTGCAGATTTTCAGCCAATACTCTTCTATCTATATGTCATGTTTTATTACTTTTAGTTACAGACAAGCAAACTTATAAGAGCAGTTACAATATTACTGTAGCTCTCTGCTGTGACAATATTTTATTTTCGGTATTTTATTTCATTATTTATTCGTTGATATAGTTCGTCTCTGTTAGAACTGACGTTCTGATCTTCCAAAGATTTGTGTTGAAACCACACCTTACTGGATGTGTATCATGTTATTACATTGTAACTACAAACTTCTCCTGATATGTCTTTTTTTCATGATGTAAGTATAGTACAAGCTATCTCTGAAGTATTGCTATATAATTATAAAAAATCCAATCAAAACTGTTTCTTTTGAAACAAATTGTTTGAGCAGTTTTAGAGATGATCAGATGAAAACAAAGATTTGCACAAAGCTTGTATTAAGAAAGATGCTATAAAAACCCTCTGATGATTCAAAATTTCATCGAATTTCTAGTTTAGTTTGTCGAAAGCAACAAAACTGAAAGTTCCTAGATAGGGGTAATGTGTTTAAAATGAAAACTTTCCACACACATCAGCAGATGTAAAACTTCAAAAGGTGGTTCAAATAACGTTCTCGGTTTGTCTCTTAAATATATTACCAATCGTGAAATACTAGCACTAATGTTGATGTTCAGCGTTGAAACTGATTTATAAATCATGCTACAAAGTTATATCTGCTCTGTTGTTGCTTTTCCTGACTTCCATCAAAGAGTTTACACAAAGTGGAGGGCAACTAAGAAATTTATAAATTCCAGTTTCAAACCTTTCGTCTATAGTGTGAGTTGTTTTGCGTATACCATGCTGTCAATGTAACCAACGAATGAAGTCATTGAACAGTTTCCAGAAATTGTAAAAATAAAGAATCCTATCCAGTCAGTCCAACCACTATGTGCTGAGTTTTGTTTTTTCCCGAGTTAATATTTTACCTTTGAACATAACTTTTCTTTTAATCCTGAATTTAAATGAAGGATGCCACTGAAGGACTGACAAAACGTTTTTTGTTTCAACTCTATAGAAATAACTGTAGAGAAAATAACTATAAAAGTAATTAGGTTCAAGCGATGAAAGATATTTCAGAGTTATTTATTTATAAAAGAAAGATGGATTAATCACGTGTCTACTTACATTCTTAAAATATAAGAATCTGGGAATTTTGTTATATTTGATAATTCATCCAAAAACGTTATCAAGATAGTTTTGATCAAATCAAGAATTAAACAATTCTGGTAACTGTTTATTTGTTCATCACACAGAGAATGGGCTGAACGGCCAGGGCAAATACCTCTATGAGCTGGGGACTGAGATCCTACTCTTATGAACATTTGGAACGTGCCTACTACACAAGATGTGAGAAAATATTTTATGCAATATTTCTTAGCTAGGGTTATCTTGCAGAAAAGTGTCAAAAAACTTCAAAAATCATGAAACCGTTACATATTTAGTACATTGATTCTTTAAGTTAAGTATAACATTGGTTTAAAAAATTGGGAATTCAACCTTCGCTGAATAGTGTGACCCCTCATTTTCTCTAACAGTACAATCTCTCTAATGTAGAGTGTGTTTTTATATATATATACTTATCCTAGAATAGTACTATTTCAGGGACACACTCTAAAGTTTAGACACCATACAGGATGGTCCAAAGGATAGTGTTCATCAAGCATTATCTGGACACTGACACTCATTTTACCCAAATTACCAATCTTGTAATTTTAGAAGAGAGAAAGAAAAACAATGCTAGTTTGCAAAAAGAAAAAAAAAAGCAATTTAGGAAAGCAGTATGATTTTGAAACACCCTACACCATGTCCAAACTTTTCTGAATTAAATTTATGATTTTCAACGTGTTTCTGGTGAAACTTAATTACTTTAAGATGATTAGTTTTGCTTAGAATCATATTAAATATGGAGTTTTCCTTATAATCACCACATACATTAAAATATTTCAAGTTAAAGTTCCTAACATATTAACCCTTCATTAATAACATTTTAGTGACTGATAAAATAGTTCTTTTCTTCTCCAACTCATTGATTTGTAATCTCAAGTCACTCTAAGAGTATCAAAAAATGTCATAATATGACAAAGCATAACAAGCAACAGAGTGAAAACGCTCCTTATGTTAAACTTGCGCAGAGTGG